TCGGTGACAAGTGGCTCAACAGGCGTGGCGTTGATGGTGGCTTGACTACATGCTGCATGTAGTCATGCATGTAACATGCATGTATCATGCTGGCTGTGTGCTGTGCCAGCGCAGGTTGATTGGGTGGTCTGGTTGAAGTTGCTTGTCCTTGGAGATTTGCATAGACGTCCAATGTCATTCATTCATTCATTCCCACTTTTGCTGCCTGGAGGTCATGACGAGCACCATCGACCCTCGCGCTTTCGCGATTGCCATCGAGCTGGCCAACCAGCTGTCAAGCGACGGCGCGTTCGTCGACGAACGCAACAGCAATCTGAGCGGCAAGCAGCACGTGTACATCCCGAGCAATGACGACATCGCGGGTGACTCGATTTTCGATGAAGGCAGTCTAGCGTTGCAGGAGCTGATCCCGGGCAGCGTCATGGACATCCTAGTGGAAGGCGCAACGACACAGACAATGAATTCGTCAGCAGTACACGGTCTGGCCCGGCACTCAAGCTGGTGGTCGCTGATTGAGCGCATAGAGGACATCACGGAGGAGGACTTGCTGGTGATGGAATGGTAGTCCCAACAAGTAGAGAATTCAATATAACAGTACATTGATGTCATAGAAGAGATAAACAAGTTCTGCCAGATCATCGTTCTATCCGTATTGCGCTCGACTGCCATCGGAGAGAATCTCCATTGATCCTCATCTCGCCTCATTTCGCTTTCTAGTCTCCATTATTGACTACCAGGCTCCTTCGTACCATTCCGGATCGTCTCGTCCTGGGCAGCTCAGCAATGACGATGACTGGGTTGTTGTCATCATACTCAATTTCCATGAAGCCCCACTTGCAGACCAGCGGTACGTTGGTACTCGCAAGCAATAGGAATCTCTTACTGCGACTCGGAATGGTGGACAGCCCACGAGGCCTCGGAGCGCATGTCACCTTCATGGCGCCACGATCTGCTAACACGAGTGTTAGCACGAGTGTTGAGGCGAGATGAGGATCAATGGAGATTCTCTCCGATGGCAGTCGAGCGCAATACGGATAGAACGATGATCTGGCAGAACTTGTTTATCTCTTCTATGACATCAATGTACTGTTATATTGAATTCTCTACTTGTTGGGACTACCATTCCATCACCAGCAAGTCCTCCTCCGTGATGTCCTCTATGCGCTCAATCAGCGACCACCAGCTTGAGTGCCGGGCCAGACCGTGTACTGCTGACGAATTCATTGTCTGTGTCGTTGCGCCTTCCACTAGGATGTCCATGACGCTGCCCGGGATCAGCTCCTGCAACGCTAGACTGCCTTCATCGAAAATCGAGTCACCCGCGATGTCGTCATTGCTCGGGATGTACACGTGCTGCTTGCCGCTCAGATTGCTGTTGCGTTCGTCGACGAACGCGCCGTCGCTTGACAGCTGGTTGGCCAGCTCGATGGCAATCGCGAAAGCGCGAGGGTCGATGGTGCTCGTCATGACCTCCAGGCAGCAAAAGTGGGAATGAATGAATGAATGACATTGGACGTCTATGCAAATCTCCAAGGACAAGCAACTTCAACCAGACCACCCAATCAACCTGCGCTGGCACAGCACACAGCCAGCATGATACATGCATGTTACATGCATGACTACATGCAGCATGTAGTCAAGCCACCATCAACGCCACGCCTGTTGAGCCACTTGTCACCGAGATCGAGATCGAGATCGACAATGGGCGCTAAGTTGGAGGCCGCTACGCGAAGTTTCTCATTTTACCGGAAACGAAGATTTCTCAGTGATACATTCCTTAGCAGCCACTAAAAAAACTGCCCGCCCATGGCGTCCTTCAAGCAATTGACCCGCTCGCCGTCGACACCAGGAGCTCATTCCAACATTCGACCGCAAACGCGCAGCAAACACACACTCAAGAGACAACTCAAAGACCCCCCCCCCCCCCCAACCATGGCCATCTCCGACAAGACCTCCGACAACAGCAAGACCCAGCAGGAGTTCACCAAGCTGCAGGATCAGCTCCGGAACGGCGCCACCGAGGCGGCCGGCTACCTCGACTCGCTCAAGAGCAAGTTCACCGACTACGACAACTCGCACAAGTCCTCCAATGAGACGGCCACGTCCTACTTCCAGGCCGCCATGGACCGCGCCAGGGAGTCCGTGGACCAGCTCAAGAGGACAGGGGAGGACATCCGCACGCAGGGCAACAACGCCTCGGACTCCGCCGTCGACTTGGCCAAGCGCTCGATGGACCAGGCCGGATCGGCCCTTGACGACCTCGGCAAGTCCGCGCAGGACTACGACCGGCGCCTGCGTGACTCCATCAACTCGAGCGTGGACGACGCCAAGGACAACGGCTCGCAGACGCTTTCGTCCTGGCAGGACTCGATCTCGTCGCTCGTCAACTCGACGCGAGAGGCCACGTTCCACGGCTTCGAGGCGCTGCAGAACCAGATCACGGCGACGCAGAAGGCCATGGCGGACCAGGCGCAGTCGGCGCAGACGGCCGCGTCGAACGCTGCCAGCGGCCTGGCCAACAAGGCCTCGGACGCGTCGGACAAGCTCAAACCCACGGACACGAAGACGAACGACCAGGACGGCCCAACGCTGATGGAGCGTGCGACGGGGGTCGTGTCCTCGTCGCTCGACTACGTGACCAGCGCGTTCCAAGGCTCGTCAGCGGAAGACGCGAACCAGAAGACGTCGGGCACCAAGAGCTCGTAGGCGTAGCAACCAGGAAGCGGTCCACCTCACTTGTACCGCGGCTTTCATTCATCAAAGCAATAAGACAAATCTACCTGCATTCCCATCAGTAACTTGTGGTAGAATTCTCATCTTCGATGGTACATGAACTGTAGCGATATCACCGTCATTCTATGCACTGGGCTTGGGCTTGCGCTTTTGGTGAAGAAAAACAGTTGAGAAAAGTCTGCAAAGCCCCTTCGCTTCGTCCCTGGAAGAGCCCTCGCGGCTGGGAGAAGCCTAACGAATGCTGGGCCCGTTGTCAGTACACGTCAAGCGTGGATGAAGTTGTCGAGTGCTCCACTCACCACCCCACTGGGACGAGGTGCATTAGCAAGAATCAACGGCAAACCGGGGAAATGTCTGCAGACCTAACGGCGCGATGGTCTGCTCCAGCAGTTTTTCATTGTGCGTTCTGCCTCTTGAGCAACACATCAACGACCAAGAAGAAGACCGAGCTACCCAACGACCCGAATGGCCGACCTGCAGAGCAAGATGGACGCCCACCAACATGACATCGACCGCGCCAAGGAGCAGATCCACGACACGACCCAGAAGGCCGACTCGTACCTGACGGATGTACGCTCCTAACCTGTTGGCATAGTGATGGAATGGTTGACTTGACTCACATATATGGATTGTCATGATGTGTACGCAGTTGACGAAGCGTGTCGAGGAGTACGAGAAGTCTCACTCGAACTTCGAGCCCGCGGGCCAATACCTCAAGTCGGCGCTGGACGCCTCGCGCTCGGCGACGCAGAAGCTGAAGACTCAGGGCCAGGACCTGTCGGAGCGATCGGTGCCGGTGGCGATCGATGGCATGAACAAGGTTCGCGAGTCGCTCGACGACCTCCAGACTCGAGCTGTGGCCTACGACGAGAAGCACGTGGGCTCGCGGGGCCAGCAGGCCGTGGACACGTTGCACCACTGGGTGAACTCGGGCCGCCAACGCGCCACAGACGCGCTGGAAACGACCAACGACCAGCTCACGAAGTTGTGTGATGCCGTCAGCAACATGGCCGGCCAGGCTGCCCACGGTGCTCAAGTGGCAGTGGGCGAAGCTGCCCGCGCTGCGGAGTTTGGTGACGAGAAGCTGGGCGTGAGCAGCAAGGCCGGCGGCGTCGTGCAGAAGGTCCGCGACTTGGACGCGCGCCTGGGCGTGTCGGCGACGGCTGCGAAGGTGGACTCGAAGGTGACCGGCGGCCTCGGATGCAAGGTGGCCGCCACCACTGTGGACATTGTGACCGAGAGCGTGACCTACATCTCGGAGACGCTGCACAACGCCAAGCTGGCGGCCCAGCAATCGAGCACGGCGCAGAGCATGGAGACGAAGGCCGCGGCAGCTACCGGTGGGGCTGCAGCGGATGCCACCACTGTGGACATTGTGACCGAGAGCGTGACCTACATCTCGGAGACGCTGCACAACGCCAAGCTGGCGGCCCAGCAATCGAGCACGGCGCAGAGCAGGAGACGAAGGCCGCGGCAGCTACCGGTGGGGCTGCAGCGGATGCCACCACTGTGGACATTGTGACCGAGAGCGTGACCTACATCTCGGAGATGCTGCACAACGCCAAGCTGGCGGCCCAGCAATCGAGCACGGCGCAGAGCAGGAGACGAAGGCCGCGGCAGCTACCGGTGGGGCTGCAGCGGATGCAAGGTGGCCGCCACCACTGTGATCATTGTGACCGAGAGCGTGACCTTCATCTCGGAGACGCTGCACAACGCCAAGCTGGCGGTCCAGCAATCGAGCACGGCGCAGAGCATGGAGACGAAGGCCGCGGCAGCTACCGGTGCGGCTGTAGCGAAGAAGAACGAGGTCCAGGAAACTTTCGCTGAAGGGTTTGAGCGTGGCCGGGAGATGGCCGGCATGGCAAAGGAGAAGACCGAAGAAAAGGCTGGCATGGCGAAGGAGAAGGCCGGGGAGGTGAAGGAAATGACTGTTGAGAAGGCCGACCAGACCAAGGAGATGGCAAAGGAGAATTCCAGCATGGCAAAGGAAAAAGCTGGTGAGATGAAGGATACGGCAGCGGAGAAGGCTGGTCAAGCGAAGGAGATGACCAAGGACAAGGCTGGTGTGGCCAAGGAGAAGGCAGGTGAGGCCACCGAGACGACGAAGGCGAAGGCTGGCGAGGCCAAGGACAAGACCGCCGAAACTGCGGGCCAAGCGAATGGTATGGCGAAGGATAAAGCTGGTCAAGCAGGAGAAGGCTGGTGAAGCTGCAGGCAAGGCAGGTGAAACGAAGGAGCAGTCGAAAGGGGTTGTCGGCCAAGCTGTGGACAAGGCTGGCGAGGTGAAGGACGAGGCGAAGGAGCAGCTCGGGTCCGCTGCAGACTGCGAAAGGGGCGGGCACCCGAGTGGAAGCGAAGATGACCAAGCCCAAGGAGCCGACTACGACCCAGGAGCCGGGCCACGCGTCTTACCGAGTACCCTCGAAATAAACTTCATCAGAGGTTAATAATGCTTGGGCCGAACAGCTCCTCAATGCTTGGGCCGAACAGCTCTGGGGCAAGAGGGCTTTCCTCTCGTCCTTGCTAGCTTTCAGCTAAATCGGTCGACGCTGGGATGCTGCTACCATAGTGCTCCAATTTACTCAGGCAGAGAGGGAGGGAGGCATACCCGCTGTCTATCGATAGAGCCCGAAAATAACTCGGTTCAAGTGTGTTCTGCCTTGTCGCCACTCCTGCTTCTCTGTCTGCCTGCGTCAGTTGCAGCGCCACTTGCTGGAAGGCACACCCGCGTCTCTCTCTCGTACCGACGTCGCCACTCAGTCAAGCCTAAGAGACCACCCTCACGGTCGAATTTAGAGTAGCAAACCATGGCGAAGAAGGGCGGCAATGAGATCGAGACGCTTGTGAAGGTGCTGGAGAAGGGCAACAAGGACAAGCGCGACATTGTCATCGACGACATCATCTCGAACCCCATCTCCTGTGGCTACCTGCTCGACTTTTGCCAGAAACAAGTAGGTCCGCTTGATAATGCTGCTACTAAGTTGGTGACACTTGAGCTCTGACGTTGACGATTGCCCCCCCCCCCCCCCCGCCCTTTGTGTAGTATTGCGCCGAGAACCTCAACTTCTTCATGGCCGTGGACAAGTTCAAGGACGAGTGCGGCCTGCTCGACTTCCGCGACCCGGAGTCCGTGCAGTCGTGCAGGGAGATGGCCGACCAAATCTGGGCCGACTACCTGTCGCTCAACTCGCCCAACGAGGTGAGTCTGCCCTCAGACGACCGCGAACATACCAAGGAGCGCATGAAGCGGCCGGGAGAATTCCGCGGCAAACTCTTCGACGTGGCCATGCAGGATGCTATCAAGACGCTACAGAAGGACACGCTCATGCGCTTCCTCAAGGCGCAGCAGTACACCGAAATGGCCGCCAAGGTCACGGCCGTGCACGAGATGATCGTCAAGAAGGTGTTCGACTCGGACAACTCGTACCAGATCGACATGCCCACCACAACGACGCTCACGGACGAGAAGATCGCTAAGGGGGGCTTCTCTCTGGACGACATCCTAGGCGACAAGATCCTCTTCCGAGAAATGCTCGACTACCTAGAGAAGAGTACGTTGCTAGCTGGATAGACTATCTACCCATGGCCCGAGTGCCGGTGACTGACGGTTCTCGTGTTGTTTACGACAGAATTCAAGGCCGAAAACCTCAAGTGCGCGCGCCAGATCCGGCGGTTCGAGGAGATGGCGCTGCAGATGAAGGCCGACGACCTCAAGGACTTCGCCTGGAACCTGTATCTCTACTTCATCGCGCCCGGGTCCCCCTACGAGGTGTCGTGCACCAACCTGGACCGGAAATCTGTACAGTTGCGTCTGGGCTGCCCCATGAAGGCCATGTTCGAGCCCATCAAGGAGAACACGATGCTCGTGCTCAAGCAAGACCACAAGGCCTTCCTGCAACAGCTGCAGCCCAAGACGCTCAAGGAGCGGCTCAAGGCCGAGAAGGCCGGCAACGCGCCCCAGAAGACAGGCTTCCTCTCCAAGTTTAAAGTATTCTAAGTCACCACGCAGTGGCAGCAGCAGGAGTAGAGTGACACATTATGGCCATAAGCTAGCGCCGCCAGCATAATATATGCACAAGCTTAAACCGTTCTATTACCTCCGGCGCGTCTTGCACCAGCGTTGGCGTTTTATCTCTCTCGCGCTCCGGCGGCGGCGACGGCGTCTAAAATACAGTCTGCAGGTGGCCACGACTCCCTGGGCCACCTCACTTCACCCCTTTACTTCTCTTTCCTCTCACTGCCGCTGGGCCGCCGCGGCCAGCAGCTTATCCTCGTCGATGGCGACGGCCGCCATCTCCATCTCCACGTCCTCCATCAGCGCGTTCACGTGCGCGTCGTCCATGGCCACGTGGCCCTCGTCGGGCGCAGTGTAGAAGTGGTTCTGCACGGCCTCGTCGTGCTCCTCCTCTTCGTAATATTCCTCTCCATCTTCACCCTCCTCGTACTCTTCTCCCTCCTCTTCGTCGTCGTCCTCCAGGTCGGCGTCCAGCTGCGCGACGGTGCGCACCACGGGGCCGCTGTTGAGCGCCGCCTGCGTCACGTCCACGGCCGCCACAATCTCGTCGTCCTCGTCGTCGTACACGAAGCGCGTGTGCTTGCCCTGGAAGACCGGCAGCCCCTTGGCCACGTTCTCCTCATCCTGGAAGAACTCGGAGCGCGCGCCGAGCTCCGGCTGCGCGCGCACGGCCGCGTTCAGGCGCTCCACCTCCTGCGTCGTGAACTCCACGGCCTGGCGCTCGTACTCGGCGGCCGAGATCTGCTGCGCGAAGTGCGCGGGCGCGTCCTCCATGGCGTGGTCCGAGTCCATTGTAGCAAGCCGATTGAGCAATGGAGCTCTTCGGGATCGCGGACGACTGGTGGCGGCGATACGAAAACGTGCACGCCTATAAGCTACAACGTTTGCCCAAATGACACCTGATCAAGAGGCTAACGTCCGACAAAGTACGGTAATAATGACATTTCGTGCGTGCTCACGTTATGGCAGAGCATCTGCTCCAGTCGCAGCACGTACATGTACGTCAGTCAGTCACTAAGTGCGTGTCAATAGTAGCAGGAAGCTAGCAAGCAGACGGAGACCATGGCGGCGGGCGCGTACGACCGGCGCGGCAGCAGCATCGCGACGCAGGTGGACGCGGCCATCGAGCGCGTGGTGCAGCAGTTCGAGAGCGAGGACCTGGCGCTGCGGCTGGACGTGCTGCGGGCACTGAGCGCCCAGGCGCGGCTGGCCTTCGAGACGACGCGCGTGCGCGAGCGGCTGGCGCAGCACCCCGTGTCGTCCGACCTGATCCAGGGCGTCACCAGCCAGAGCCCCGTGTACAAGGCGCTGGCCGAGCGGCTCACGGTGGACAGCTGCAGCTGCGACTACGACGCGCGGCGGAACGTGCTCATGACGACGGACGTGCGCTGGACGCACGCGCCCGCGAGCGCCAAGAAGGCGACCAAGAAGCGCAAGAAGGCGGCCGCTGCGGCCAAGTCGGCGGACAAGGGAGCTATGATCACCAAGTACAGGTTCGAGAGGGCGAGGCAGCAGAAGGAGACGGCCGAAGACGCGGAAGAGGAGCAGCAGGAGGAGCAGGAGGAGCAGGAAGAGGAGAACGATGATAGAGAGCAGGAGGAGGAGACGCTCATCAAGTTCACGGTCGTTGTGGCCTTCGGAGACGACGACGCGACCCCGAGAGAGCTGCTGCACTACGAACTGGCCTGCGAGCACCCGTACCCGAAGAGCTACTACGAGGACCAGCAGCAGCTGCCATCGGATGACGAAGAGGAAGAGAAGAAGGAGGAGAAAGAAGAAGAGCAAGAAGAGGAGGGGGAAGAGAAATCGTTTGGCGAGGAGATCCGAGGCTTCCGCTTTGACAACGAGGTGCTTGCCGACGTGGGCGCGTGGATGGGCGCGGACGAGGAGGAGCTGGACCCCGTGGACGTCGTGGGCTTCTTCATGGCGCTGCCAGTGCACGAGGACGAGTGGCTCGTGGACGAGCGCGTGTGCGAAATTCTGTTCCAGGGCGGAATGGGAGGCGGTGACAGCGATGAGGAGGATGGAGGTAGCGAGCAGGGCGAGGAGGACGCAGGCGGCAACGAGTCGGAGCCTGCAGAGGAGGAAAACGACGAGGACTGAGCTGCCCTAGGTCGGACAGTAGCGGCGTAAATATATCTACTCTAGAGCACTGAGACTGGATTGACGAGACTGGAGCTCGGTACATGTGAGCGTGAGCATGAAGCTTGAGCACTTGAAGTTTTCGGGGAGGCTATTTTCAAGGTGCGAGGGGATCTCATGCGAGTAGTTTCGCTTAATCCCAGCCCTCTCCTGCCTGTGTATGTGAGCCTGCAGGTATCACAGTTGGTTCTGTCGCGCTGCAGCGTGTCGGTGTGCTTGTTCATCTGTAGCTCTGCAGGCGTAAATGGCGGCGGGCAAGCACTTGAGTGAGAGACCCCCTTCGTCTACGCGCGATGACTGCATCGACGATCTGTACGAGAACAATGCGTTCGGTGACGAGGACCGCGAACTTGAGGTGGCTTCGGCCAAGGCCGAAAGCAAGACAAAGAGGAGTGCAGCGGAGCCCCAGGAGTCCAAGGGTGCAGACAGCAAGTCGCAGGGCAACAAGGTGCAGTTCGACGTGTGGGTGGCCCGCAAGGACAAATACGAGCGCATGGCTCGGGCGTTGGCGCAGCTGGACCCGGCCCGCGCTGGTAGCGAGGAATCCTGGCTCGAAGTCGCGGTGGCGCTCGCAGCGACAGACTGCCAGCTGAAGACGGGTAAAACATCGGCGTGCGACTGCCCAGGAGTGTGCCGTGAGCCGGAGCATTCAGTGGTGAGGCAGCGCACTCGCTGCCAGTGTCCAGCACGAAAGTGTTCTCTGTGCAGACGCTGTGTCGGAACGACTCCGGGCGCGATCTCCCCCAAGATGATCGCAGCGCTGGAACCGTACGAAGGCGTCACAAGCGATCCCTCTGACAGCACGAAGTCCATGCTGAATCTAGCAGGCGTGCTAGCTCGCAGCGGTGAGGGCCACGTGCTGAGTCTGGAGGACGGCACGAGTATCCGCATCACCACCGCAGCGTTCCGGATAGCTCAGACTGTCTTGGCGCAGTGCAGCATCCTGGAGTCACCCGAAGGCGTCAAGCTGCAACGGCCGTGCTCGTGTCCTGTGCGCTCGCTGGGCGATCTCTGGGTCAAATGGACCACGAAGAACCACACGTTCTCGCGCGTGCCGCTGAGCGAGGACGAGGCGCGGCAGTTCTCAGCAGGAACTCGGCAGATGATGGACCAAGACAAGAACGAAGACGGCAACACGGTCTACTATATGACGCTCAAGTGGCACGCGGCGGCCAAGCCCCAGAAGGGCGACACGGCCAAGATCGCAGCACGTCGAGCGCTCACAGCGGACCAGAAGAAGCAGAATGCCTTCTTCCTTGGTCTGTGCAAGAAGTACTGGCAGAAGGCCCAGCTCCGCGTGGCGGAATATCTCCAGAAGACGCTGGCGGCGGCTGCAGACAGCGCTCAGAGCTCGGGCAAAAGTACGGCCGACGTGGAGATGCAGGCATTGAATCGTCTGGGCGTGCGACGCATGCTGCAGTGGCTGGAGGAAGATGCCGAGGCGGTGGAGAATGCTCGTCAGGAGGAGGCCCGTGAGAAGGCCGAGGGCGGAATCGTGGCGCACAACGCGTGGGTCCGTCGTAAAGACCGCCTGCGCATTCGGATGCCGACTCCGGAGACGACCGACGGAGCAAGAAGACCTGCTCGACATGCTCCACCGCCTCGGTTTGACTTCTCAATGGGGTCCGGTGTCGTCCGGCATAAGCAGCCCTGCCGCCCTCCAAGCTCCACGGCAGAACTCATGCGCAACAGCGGTCTCAAGTACGTGCACGCCATGAGCGAGGGCTTCCAGGGTCGCGGCGGTGATCTCGAGAAAAGCAAGCAGCTGCTCGTTCAACAGGGCCACGTGCTGCGCGACAACTTCGACCAGGACGGCGGTGGCGACGACGACGACCCCGACTCGAACCCGTTCTCCAAGGATCGATACCTCTTTGAGCGCCGTAACAACCCGGCACTGCGTGGCAAGCTCGAGGGCGATCGACGTCGACGAGAGCAGAGTCGAGAGAGCTACGCTGCGTGGGTCGCGCACAAGGCGATGCGAGATAAGGCGGCCAAGTTCCTGGAGCACCTGCCACCGCCGAGGGACGGAGAAGAGGGCGACCCAGTTATCGACAACAACGCGAGCTACGAAGACGACTTCGACGATTCAGGGCGAGGGCCCGCGACGCCGGCAGCCGTGAGGTGGGAAGAGGTCGGCAAAGCGCTCAAAGCGGTCGATCGCACGCTGTTGGACGCGTGGGTGCGTTGGAGTCGCGGGTTCCGCAGTGCCGGTCGATGCCGCGCACTCTGGGAGAGCTTCGCCCCCGTAAGTTGTGACGTTCACTGCGCGTCGTCGCCATTGCGTGACGTTTTCCTCAAGCTGCTTCATCGTCCGTCGGGCGTCAACTACAAGCAGGCGTGCGTTGAGCTTTGCACGCGGAAGCACAAACAGGCACTGGCCCGTGGCGATGCCGTCGACGAGAACGGGGAAGAGCTGGACGAGGACCTGGAAGAAGCCAAGCTCATAGCGCGATACGGCTTTGTGACGGGTCGTGAGCTGGCAACGCTGCTGCGAGGTCTCGGGCTTGTGTTGCAGCCCGAAGAAACTCAGCGACTGGTTGAGTTCTTTGCCGACCCCGAAGAGGCCCAAGGTGATAGCGGAGCAGTTCGTCTCAAACTTGAGGCGTTCTTGGCTGTGGTCGGTGACGAGCGTCGCGCGTCGTGCCGTGGCGACACGGATCAGTTGCTGAGCTCCGTGTGCATGTGGGAGACCGTGTGTCATGAATGTGGAATGCTGAACGCCTTTCAGCTGGTGCTGGGCACCGAGGGCTCCAGTCGTCGACGTCGAGCCGAGTTGCCCGGCCACGTGTGCAGACGCGAACAGTATGGCGGCAGATTCTCGTGCACTCCTGAAAGCGACATGATCGCGGTGCGGCGTGTAGCTCCGCGCCACTGCACCTTCGCTCAATGGGACGACACTCAAGCCTCTCCGTTCCTGAAGAAGTTAGAGCTGTGGTCGGCCGTGCCCCGCGAGCAGCACGTACTGCGTGAACTCGTGACATCTGGAAAGCCCCCAAGTATCCCCGTTCTGGAACGAGACGACAGCGAAGACACGCTGGACTTGACGACAATGCTGCGTCTCACGTGGAAGATGCCTCAAGGGGGAGGGGGTGGTGGAGCCCCCGTGTTCTACCAGCTCGAGACTGCAGGCGCAGAGGGGTCCGCGAGCTTCCGCGTCAGCGCCTACCACGAGATCTGCCGTGACCCGAAGGACTTCTCCGACAACGACGGAGTTCCTCGCGGCGCCTTCACAGTGACAGGCTTGTCCCCGAACACCAAGTACGCTTTCCGCGTCCGCGCGCTCAATGGCTTTGGCGCCGGCTCCTACGCTTTCTCGTACTTCATGACGGCCCCAGCAAGACCCGCCGAGCCACTGGCCATAGTCATTGCCCCCCACAGCGTGAAACTCGCGTGGGAAAGCTCGTCGTACTACACGCGGCGACTGCGAGAGCTGGAGGAGGTCTTCAAAGAGGCCGACGCCGATGGCAACGGCCGAATCTCGCGCGACGAGTTCATGGAGGAGATCGAGCGCCGCAAGCCGAAACTCGTTGCGTTCCTCCAACAAACGACATCGGTCGACAACGGCGCGGCACAGGGAGCTCCTCCACTGAGCGTGTTCGACGCCATCGAGACTGACGATAACGAGAGCATATCGTGGGAGGAATTCCTGCGCTTCTTCCATGGCGTCTTGGATCAGTCCGATACTGCGTCTCGGAGCTCTCTGGGCTCGAAAGGTTCTGCCAGGTCGTCACAGAGTTCGCGTCGATCGTTGAGCGGCTCGGCGTCTTCCCGGTCGCTCCAGAAGTCTGGCAAACGAACCAGCAAGGCCAGCGCCTCCGCTGCGACGTGTCGATACATCCTCAAGCAGTGCTCGAACGAGTCTGCGGGCGAATACGTCGAGATCTACCGCGGAGCAGCACCAAAGTTCGAGGTGCTTGGGCTCCACAGCAGCAGCACGTACCAGTTCCGAGTGCAGGCGGTGAACGCTGAGGGCCGGGCCAGTCTTCATAGCGAGCCGGTGGTGGTAAACACTCTCCTACCCACGCCTGCCCCGCCGACTGTCAACTCGAGTGCGCTTGAGCCAGCGGTGCAGAGTGGACTTGTGCAGCTTCGGTGGGCAGTAGCCAACGCTCGCCCCAGTCTCTCACCTGCAGCTTTGCGCGCCCCCAACGGCGCCGACGATCAAGTGTCCCGGTTGTTGAAGGAGTGGGCGCAGGAGACGAGTCTCGACGACGGAGCGGTGGACTACAAGGCGCGATTCGATCGCTACGATGTCGACGGCAGCGGCTATCTCGAGCTGCCCGAGTTCCAGACGCTGCTCAGCGAACTGGGACTGCCCCCGACGCCCGAGCGACTCGCTTCATACCTCGCAGCCTTCGACCTCGACTCGGACGGCAAGATATCGTACCCCGAGTTCGCGCGCTGGTGGACGCAGCCAGATGTGCACTACGTCTTGAAGCGGGACTCTGGATGTCGGGAAGGCCAAGACGACGACATGCAGACGCCAGGCTCGTCGAAAGCTGACGAGATGAAACTCGTTTGTTACCGCGGTGCCGAGGCTACTGCAATTGTGAGCGGCCTGGAGCCGAACACTCGCTACCGCTTCCGTCTTCGAGTCGTGGGCGCCCACGCGTCGAGTGCTCTAAGCGATGCCCTGACGATTTGCTCAGCGCCCAGCGCGCCCACGTGCGTCGGACGAGTGGATGTGGGCCACGACAGTGCACTGGTTCGCTGGCATCCGGGTCCTGGAGGTGCAGCGAAGTACGCGGTCGACTGCAAGCGCATTGAGACGTTGACACCGAGGGCTTCCAGCTCCAACGACGGCCCCACCGAATGGCGACGGGTGTACGAAGGCCGTGAGCCGCTCGCGTACATCCGCGACCTCCAGCCCGAGACGGTCTATCGCCTTCGCGTGTTCGCACTCAACAGCGACGGAATCGCCAGCGCGCAGTCGACGGTCTCGCAGCTGTGCACGACCAGCAAAGAAGTCTCTCAACGTCGCTCTCGACTGGCCAGACGCCCCGCGGGTGCTGTCGACTACTTCACCATTGAATGCGGACCGGAAGAGGGAGACTTGGTACTTGGGGACACCGTCCTCTTCTGTGAACGTCTCATGCGCCGCACCACGGACGTCGATCGGTTCTCGAGACCAAGTTCAGGCTTAGCGCAGTCCTCAGTGTACTCCGTTACCAGCTCCACTGGAGGCGCAGAGGCTGTCGGCGAGCGCACGGTTGCAGCGAAGGTTGTCGGGGTGTCTCGTCACCCTCGTCACGGAAACGTTCTAGCTCTCACGGTGGTCTGGTGCACCGTTCAGCTGTACAACGTCGAGTCTTCGGCGACGGCTTCAAGGCGCGGCGGGACGAGCATTAGCGGGAAGAAGCGAACAACTTCCATCCACACGTCCAGTCGAGAGCTCTCTGCGATGGCCAGCGTCGATGGATACTCGCTTGCCACGGATCTCAAAATCTCTCGGCCCGAGCGAAATCTCTATCGCTTCGACACGTTCCGCGCGGAGTGGGAAGATGAAGCTGCTCGCTATGCTAGCACATGGGATAAATAAGTAGATGCAGAACTAACAGCGCTGCAGTTCAACAGTGTAAGAGAGCAAAGACAAATGGCAAAAAAGTATCTACTTACGTGGGATGTGTGCTGGTGTGCTGTTTACTTGGTGATCTTGATGTCGCGAATGAGCTCGCACAGCTCGTCGTTGACGTAACGCGGGGCGTTTTGGGCCTTGCCACGTCGACGACCCTGGTCGTGCAGCAGCTGCAAGAGCGACTTGGCGTCAGGCTCCATCGCGTCGGCCTTGCGGATGAAAACAACGCTGTTAACATCCTGCTCGCTGGGCTTCAGAGCAAGCACCGCACGCGAGCCGGAGAACACACGCTGCAGTCGTGCGATGATGTCCTTGTACAGTCCACTGTCGCGGCATGAAACGTTGATGAGCAAGACACCGCGAGGGGCCAGCAGACTGTGAACGTGGGCCAGGAAGGCGTCCTCCACGAAGCTCACAGGCGGACAGCTCATGCCCACATCGCGCTGCTTCGCGTCCACATCCACAATGATCGAGTCGAAGCTGGGCTCCTCAGACGCAGTGGACTGCTCCGCCACGTACTTCAGAGCGTCAGCAACCACCACGCGCATGCGGTCGTCCTGGCGGAAACCGAAGTACTGCTCGGCCACCGTCACGATCGTCGGGTCCAGCTCGCACGCCGTCACATCCATACCAGGCACGTTATCGTGAAGGTACTGCGCAAGGCAACCACCGCCAAGACCAAGCACCAGCGTGCGGTGAGCGGCATCCGGTGCCGTTCTGGAAGACAGCGAGGCCGCATGCAGTGCTGCGACCATGCCCTTGTGGTAATCGAACGCCAGGTAGGACGTGTCCACGCCCGCCTGCTTCGCCTGCGCCTTCTTTTTCTTCTTCTGGTTCTTCTTCTTGTTCTTTTTCTTCTTCTTGGCGGCAGCGGCAGCCTCCTCAGGCGTCATGTCCGAGGTCTCATCAGCCGCAGGAGCCTCCACCGGCGTAGCAGGGGTAGCAGCAGGAGCTGGAGCAGCGTTTCCACGGGCCTGCAGCTTCACCTCACTCTGGATAACGTTCGTGTTGCTCAGGAACACAAGGCGGCGAAGCTTGTCCTCGTCCTCCTGCACCTCCTCCACGAAGAAAGCCCCGCTGAGCGGCGACGTGCCCTGGTGCACAATGTTGCGCGCGCCGAGACCCTCCTCCACCGTCAGGTACGGGATTTTCTCATCCGAGCCGAGTGTGTCGGGCGCCAGCTCCATGACCTTCGCGTTGAGCTCCTCCTGGACCTTGGCCGTGCTCTCGAAGGCGTGGCCACCACGGCCCAGCGCAACGAGAATGAGACGACTGAATCCGGCACCGGCCGCCAGCTCGTTAGTTCCCTCCTCGGTCGAGAACATCCACTCGTGCTCGCGGCCCTGCGGGATGAGGAACACGGCGCAGCTGCCGTTGGGGCCACGCATGCTGGTGTCCACCAGGCGCAGCGTGAAGCGCGGGTTCACCTGGCCGCCCGCGCCGCCGCTCTGGCCCACGCCCTTGGTCGCGTCCTTCTCGTCGTTGGCGATGAGCTCGATGACCTCCTGGCGTCCGACCTTCAGCTGGCGCAGCGCGGCCTGCGTCATGGCGAACCACTGCGTGGCCTCCACCTCGTGGGTCAGCCAGCGCTGGCGGGCCTCGCCCACGTCGCTCACGAACTGCTTGCCGTTGTACTGCGCCTTCTTGGCGGCCTTGTTGTCCGTCTTGGGGCACTTCGTGGCCGCGACCAGGAAGGGCGCGAAGGGCTTGCGCGCCTCTCGGGGCAGCTCCTGCACGCCCACACCCCAGCTCGTGGGCTCCATTTCGGCCGCGTCCTTGGCGCTGAAGAAGCCCAGCAGGTGCTGCAGGATGAAGTCCTGCGCCATGGTCACGCAGCAGTAGCGGCCGCCGGGCGCCAGCACGCGGCGCACCTCGCGCAGCATGCGCGTGGCGTCCTGCTTGATCTCGGGCGTGTCCTCGGCCATGAGCGCGTCCAGCGCGCCCTTGTCCATGACCAGGTCGAAGCTGGCGTCGACCAGCGAGGCCATGGCCGTCATGTCCATGACCTCCCAGCGCAGCGCCGGGTGCTTGCGCCGCATCTCGTCGATCACGCGCTCGCTGAAGTCGACGCTCAGCAGGTCCGAGAAGCCGTCGGCCGCCAGCTCCGCGCTCAGCGCCGAGTTGCCGCAGCCCACGACCAGCACGCGCACCTTGGCCTTGAGGCGGCGCAGCAGCGACGAGGGCGCGTCATCAGGCAGCCCCAGCAGCGCCTGCAGCCCGGGCCGCAGCGAGCTGTAGTCGCCGTACCACTCGAAGGCCTTCTCGCCGCGCTTCTGGAAGAACTGGTCCCAGTACTCCTGCTTGCGGAAGTCCTCCGCGCGGCGCGGCAGCAGCTCGTGGGGTTGGCCTTGGCCCGTCATGGTCTCTTTGGCTAATGGGAAGCAGAGCCAATCACAGCCGCAGATGGGTACACCTGATTAAACCGATTTGGCTGCGGGCTCACCATGATACACGGGGGCGTGACATCATACAGGCGGCCAGTCATTTTCGACCAGGAGCTTCGAGGCAAAGGACGATGGACGGCAGCAACCCCCGTACGTAGCGCTAGATCTAGGCTTGATGCACCCCCTTCCCTGCCTGTGCGTGTGTGTGTATACTAAATACCGACCTCTCCACTCGCGGCCATGCAGCCAAGAAGACGACGCTGAGCGCCTCGGCCAAGGAGTTCTCCTTCAACCCTGGCGCCACGACGTGGACGCCGCCCGCGTCCTTCGTCCCGCCGCCCCCGGCGCCCGCCCCGGCCCGCGCCTTCGACGTGGCCATGCCCGTCCCCAAGAAGGGCGGCGCTGCTGTGCTGGGAGCCAAGCCCACTGCTGCCCCCGCCCCGCCTGCCCCTGCTGCGCCTGCCGCCCCTGTTGCGCCCGCTGAGCCGGTCGCCAAGCTGGAGGAGAAGGTGGAGAAGCTGGCCGTGGAGGAGAAGAAGGTCGAGGAGAAGAAGGCCGAGGAGCCCAAGGCCGAGGAAGAGGCTGAGGAGGACACGTTCGAGGAGGAGGCCGAGGTCGGCGACGAGGACCCGCGCGAGCACCTGAACGTCGTGCTCATTGGCCACGTCGACGCCGGCAAGTCGACGCTGTCGGGTAACCTGCTGTACCTGATGGACATGGTGGACAAGCGCACGATCGAGCGCTACGAGCGCGAGGCGAAGCAGCGCAACCGCGACAGTTGGTTCCTGGCCTACATCATGGACACGGGCGAGGAGGAGCGCGCCAAGGGTAAGACGGTGGAGGTCGGACGCGCCCACTTCGAGACGGAGACCCGCCGTTTCACGATTCTGGACGCCCCCGGTCACAAGAACTACGTGCCCAACATGATCCAGGGCGCGTCGCAGGCCGACGTGGGTATCCTCGTGATTTCGGCCCGTAAGGGCGAGTTCGAGACTGGTTTCGAGCGTGGTGGACAGACCCGTGAGCACGCTATGCTGGCCAAGACTCTGGGCATCAACAAGCTCATTGTGGTTATCAACAAGATGGACGAGTGCAGCTGGGGCCAGGAGCGTTACGACGAGTGCGTGAACAAGCTCCGTCCGTTCCTGCGCATGTGCGGTTTCGCTGTCAAGCGTGACGTGGCTTTCATCCCCGTGTCTGGCCTGCAGGGCGACAACGTCAAGGTGCGTGTGGACAAGTCCAAGGCTCCGTGGTACGAGGGTGAGTCGCTGATTGACCACATGGACACCATGCACATCGCCAACCGTAACCCGGACGGACCTACGCGTGTGCCGATCCTGGACCGTTACGCCGACCGCGGCACCATCGCTCTGGGCAAGGTGGAGTCTGGTATCCTGAAGACTGGCCAGAAAGTTCTTCTGATGCCCACGAACGCCACGGCCATCGTGAACCAGGTGTACATTAACGAGCTGCCCGTGCGCACAGCCAAGCCCGGTGAGAATGTGACGATCCGTCTCTCCTGCGGCCTTGACGAAGTCCAGAAGGGCTTCGTGCTCTGCGGCACCAAGGAGGAGACCCCTCCTCGTGCCATCCACGCCTTCGCTGCTCAGATCGCTCTCGTGGACACCCTGGAGCACCGCCCGCTGCTGACGGCCGGCTACAAGTGCATCCTCCACATCCACACCGTGGCCCAGGAGTGCGTCGTCGCGAAGCTGCTTCGCCCCATCGACCCGAAGACGGGCAAGCCGGTGAAGAAGCACGTGACCTTCATTAAGCAGGGCCAGTCGGTCGTGTGCCGGATTGAGGTGGAGCAGAGCATCACGGTCGAGACGTTCGCCAACATGCCTCAGCTGGGCCGTCTGACTCTTCGTGACGAGGGTAAGACGATCGCTATCGGTAAGGTGCTGGCGCTTGAGAAGTAAGAAGTAGCTCGGATTTGGGAGCGCACGAGGCAACTATCGTGGAGATGAAGAGGCAGGTGGCCTGGAGAGAGTATTGGCAGTACTTGTTGGACAGGATAGACAGGAGTGAGCTCCGTAGCCACTTGGACAGGCAAGCTCCAGGTTGGCTGTCAACAAGGTCACTTTAGGTACCATAGTAACGGAGCGCTTGCAATGCACAGTCCATGTTTTCACTTTTAGCACCTGTGTTGCTGTCCCTGTAAGGTGGACAGCTTGGAAATAGAATGGGATCTGTCCATTGCAGACCCTCGAAGTGGACACTGAGTCCGATGCCCCATCGGCAACCTCAATTATTCACTAAGCTGGAGAAGGTTGAGAGGCGTAGGTCAGTGACTCGGAACGTTTGTATCGTGCCGCGTGCTCGTTGTGCGTCTTCAAAGGTCATTTGATTTACTGCTTCTCTAGGCCCCAGCGGAGGCAGCAACCGCGCCGGACATCTGTTCCCGCGCGATAGCGAAGATCGCGACCAGCGAGGACAACTGCAGTTCCTCCGTCGTGCCGTTCGACAGGCGGTGCTCGAGTTTGGCCAGCTCGTCGTATAAATACATGCGGCACCGCGGCGGCAGCTCCAGCTCCGTGGTGTAGCGGTAAACGTCCTGCAGGATGTCGCTGGTAGCGTAGCCCTTGAGCTTCTGCATCTCGGCGCACTTGCGCACGGCCGTCGAGAAGGTCTCGTTGAAGAGCCACTGGGTCACCGACTCGATGTCCTTCGGCAGCGGGTTGCCCGTGCACAGGTACACGTTGGCCTCATTGACGACGTCGTGGGCCATGGACGTCGCCTGCAGGATGTTGAGGATGCGGCGCATGTCCCCCTGGCCGAGGCACAGAATGGCCTTGAAGCCGTCCTCCGTCATGTTGAGCCTGGCAGCAGCAGAACAGCAACAACAGGTTAGATAAAACGCTACCTACCACTATGCACAGTATTGCAGCGCCGCAGCGTACTTTTCCAGCTGCGCGATGTGCTTGACGCGGCCGCTGACTTGGCTCTCGTCCAGCGGCGCGAAGCGGAAGCGCGTGCAGCGCGACTGCAGCGCCGGGATGATCTTGCTCACGTAGTTGCAGATGAGGCAGAAGCGCGCGTTCTTCGTGTACTTTTCGATGACGCGGCGCAGCGAGAACTGCGCGTCGTTGGTCATCGAGTCGGCCTCGTCCAGGATGATGAGCTTAACGCCCTGGCTGAAGAGCTTCTTGGTGCCCGCGAACTCCTTGATCTGGTTGCGCACCACGTCGATGCCGCGGTCGTCCGACGCGTTGAGCTCCAGCACCATGGAGCCGTAGTTCTTGCCGTACAGCCGCCGCGCCGCCGCGATGATCATGGACGTCTTGCCCGTGCCCGGGGGCCCGTAGAACAGCAGGTGCGGCAGCTTCTGCGCGTCGATGAGGCGGTTGAGCGTCGAGATGATCTCCTGGTGCGCGATCAGGTCGTCCAGCGACGACGGGCGGTACTTCTCCACCCACGGCCACGACTCGGTCGACCGGTTGCGGCTAGAGATGCCCTCGAACGCCGGCAGCGCCGCCACGTCCTCGTCCGCCGACTTCATCTCCACGTCCGCCATGGCTGCTGTATTGTGGTGCTTTGGATATGAGCGGTTGGCGTTTGGCGCGGAGAGCGGCCATTGGCGGAAATGGCCGGCCAATTTGTACTGACATGTGAGAAAGGCAACTTGCCGTCAACTCTTCCCCGTCGACTTGCCTTGCACACACGACACGGAGCAACCAAACAGCATGAGTTCTTGCAGCAAGCACCGATGATAAAGAATTACCTTAAGTTTTATATTATCGTTTGAATACGGAGTCTCTTTAACTACCGGTAGTTCAAACATTGTTTCTGCTGCCATGACACGGCGCTGGGTTACCTCCCTCACCCTTCATGCTCACATCTGAAGCTGCGCCCCTCGTTCCTGACCCCTATACTACCGCGCGGACTTGTCGAATGCTACTTGCGTTGCGTCAATAAAAGGCTTACTTCTGCAATGAGCCCTGCGAAGAGCTCGTTGTGCCGTTTGTCGCCCCTGGTCGCCGTGCTGTCCGCCAACTTTAATAGCAGCTCTACCAACTCGGGTTAGCTAGATGACAACATTCGAGGGAGCCGCAACGTCACGCTTGCAGTTCAAGCGAGTGAGACCTTGGTCTGCTTTGGCGGCAGCACCGATTTGGTTTGTGAATCATGCTGGGACTACCGGATAAGCCGTCGAGCATTATATATTACAGATCCATATTTTTGATTGGTCCTTACTATCGGGAAAACTATTGTCCGGATATCCCAGCGTAGTAAATTTATTACAGGTTTTATTCGCCGTGTTTTTTTCTCCGCCGCGTCGATTTCCATCTTCGGCTTCGGTCGAAAAGCCACGAAAAGAAAAGCTCACACATAAGAAGCAAGAGAAGACAGACAGACAGACAGGCATGGCGTCCACCGACCCGCAGGAGCTGGAGAAGCTGCAGGAGCAGATCCACAAGGGCACGGAGGAGACCAAGACGTACCTGGCCTCGCTCAAGGCCAAGCTGGCCGAGTACGACGCGCAATACAGCGTCTCGGAGACGGCCTCGTCCTACCTGCAGGCGGCCCTCGAGCGCGCGCACTCGTCCGTGGACGAGCTCAAGGAGCTGGGCGAGTCGCTCAAGGAAAAGTCCAAGAGCACGTCGGCCCCCGTCGTGGACGCGGCCAAGGCCTCGTTCAGTAAGGTGCAGGCGGCGCTCGACGGCCTCAAGGAGCGCGGCCGCAGCTACGACGACCAGTTCCGCGCCAGCGTCACGAGCTCCGTGGACTCGGTGCGTGGCGGCGTGTCGTCGGCCACGAGCTCCGTGTCCACGTCCATCGAGCACATCGTGGTGGCCACGCGCGAGCGCAGCACCTCGAGCTTCGAGCAGCTCAAGGAGACGCTCTTCAGCGCGGGCTACGGCGCCTACGTGGTGGCCGGCGGCGTCGTGGGCAAGGCCGAGGAGCTGGACGGCCGCTACGGCGTCGTGGGCACCGTTTCGGGCGTCGTGGGGGCCGTGGCCGGCAAGGTCTCGGACCTGGACCGCGCGCTCGGCGTGTCGGCCACGGCCATGAAGGTGGACGAGAAGGTGACGGGCGGCCTGAGCACGGACCTCGTGAACCTCGGCGTGGGGCTCGTCAACAGCTCGGTCGAGTACGTGACTGGCGCGCTGCAGCAGGCCAAGATGGCGGCTACCGAGGAGTCCAAGGAGAAGGCCCCCAAGACGGTCGAGGAAGCGGCGCCCAAAACGGTCTGAATCAACCAGCGGTAGTCTCCGCGCCCGTAGTCATGATGCAGGGTCACTAAATATATTTGAGTTGCAATCCTGATAAGCTTAACTGCCTCCGCTGTGAATTGCGCGTAGGCGTGTGGTCGCTGCTCCCGAATTCCAAGCATGGCACTTCCTCTAGACTGTATAAGAGATTAATTAGAATCTGGCGACGGTGTCACTTGGACTGCAGGACCACGTCGTGTTGCTGGCTGCACGTGCCAAGAATTGAAAAGGTTTTGGTCGCTTCAACCGCCGAGCTAAAATTGGGGGACATGCGTCCAGCGATAGAATTCGTGTACACCTACCTGTAACGCAGCAAGTTGCTGCACTGTGGGGGCCTTCGAGCGACTGCGGCGGTAGTCGACGTCCGTTCAGTGTTTGCTGCGCTGATTGATCCTGGCGTGTAGCAGTCGAGATTTCTCGCCCCCTGCCTCGTGATTCCTTGTCGCGATCGAAGGGGCTGGTCGTCCTAGCGCATGTTCCCACTGCTTCAGCTTTCTCTTGGCCCCAGAGGAGGAAGAAGAGCCGAGCCGCGAGCGTCGTCCCGATACAGCCGTCGATGCGGGTCGCAATGCACGAGCCTACTCACAAATGGAAGCGGCCGGTAGGGCAAGATCTGCTGCGGCGATCGGCCAAGCGCATGCGACGGAGTATCAAGCGGAGGATGAAGGGCGAGAGCAGACGCCAGTGGATCGAGAGGAATTTACACGACTCGGAAGTCGGAATCGTGCTGGATGTAATACAGTGTCTGCTAAGGTAAGCGCGGCCGGCAGCGGCGAATAGTGACGTCTGCGGAATACTAACCCCTCGGTGGTGCAGCTCTACAATGGTCATCGCCATGACGCAGTTAAACTGGAAACACCCCGATACGAATTTTACTACCGAATACCTCGTAATCGACACACTTAACCTGGTGGCGACACTGGCCAACCTTGGCCTCAGGTACGCGGCAGCTCAAGTATTTTTTATCTAAGATTTTTTTGGTCGGGGTCTGATGTATTCATGAACTGTTTGGGCCGTCGTAGATTTTATTCAGCCAGCAACCGCAAGAGTTTTCTGCTTCACTGGTTATCTGTCGTAGAGATTATCTGCGTGCTGCCACTTCTGGTGGAATTTATCACGGGGTCGACGGGCACAGGACCCAACACGTACGCGTTCCGGTTGCTGATGATGCTTCGGGTGATGCGGTTACTGCAGTTTTATCGTCTTTTGAGGCTGGCAAAATCAGCCAAGCTCCGTCAAGGTCTGCTGATCTGCCTTACAACGTCGTGTATCATCATCTGCGGGGCTCTCTTCATGCAGGTAAAGTGATATGTGTACTATGTTTTTGGTACGGCTCAAGTATTCGCGAAAAAAATCATGCTCATTCTGGCTTGTTTCCTCTAGACCATCGAATACTGCGACCCAGCGTACAAGGGCACACAAGTTTCAGGAGAAAATTGCCAAGACATGACGTTCCTAGACGCCATTTACTTTGTCTGCATCACGATCGCAACCGTTGGGTACGAAAGTATATCAGTCGAAAATCAATGACCCGAGAACATGGTGAAAAGCTAAAATGATAATGTTTGTTGCCTGTGCAGGTTTGGAGATGTCGCGCCAAAATCCAGTATCGGCAAAGCGTTCGATGTCGGGCTCATCTTTTTCGCCGGCGTACTAATCCCTCTCCAAATTAGCGGCTATTCCTACATTCTCAGCCGGGAGGTGAGCAGTTTGTGTTCGCATCAAAGCCCTTGTTGATTCTAATATTTCCCCCCGTAAAACGTAGACGGCTTTTGATAAGAAATACGTGCCAGACAAGAGTACCCAGCACGTGCTGCTCTGTGGCGAAGTGGAGAATGGAGCCTTACTATTTTTTCTACACAACTGGCTACACAAGGATGAGGAACGTCGAACACGCCGAAAAGTTGTCATCCTCGCACCCACTTTACCATCCAACGACTTGCGACGAGTTCTCCTCCACCCGGAGTACGAGCAGCGAGTGATTTACCTTCAGGGCTCAGCAATGGTAGCGGCAGATCTTCAACGCGCCGCAGCTCCGTCGGCTGAATTTTGCTTCGTCATGGTGAAGAAGCACAGCGAGACACTGGATCAGAATGATACGGCAGCCAACCTGATCACGTGCTCAGTGCGCAAGAACAACCGGCATGGTAAAAAGCTACTTTTACGATTCACTTGACATGTGAGTTTGATTCGATCTAACAATGTTTTTTTATCTTTCAGCACCACTGCACGTCCAAGTGTCGAGGTTTGACAACACTCGACACTTCCACATTTCGGGGGCCACAGCGGTGATATGCCTGGAGCAGTTGAAATTGGCATTTTTCGGCAAATGCCTTTGGATTCGAGGGCTGAATCCGTTTCTAGGGAACCTCATTCAAAAGTTCAGCCACGCAGAAGAGTGCAGGTACGACAGAGACACTTCAGGGTCTCAAGGCTACGCGTTTGTGCTCACTCCACGGTTTGTGTTTGATTTTGATGTGTCAGGGGGTACTGGCTGTCGGACTATCTCTCTGGTTGCGAGCAAAAGATCTGCGAAGCTGCACTTCCCCCATTTCTCCTGAACATGTCCTCGTACCGCTCTCTCGCTGTGTTGCTGTACCGTGAATTCGGTGTTCCTGTTATTGGGCTGCGAACGCTGGAAGATACCACCGCCGTCTACCCAATTGACGACGAGCTGTCCGACGCGAACTTCTTGAGCATCTTTTTCATCGGCCGGGGCAACGACATCGCCAGCAAGATCGAGAAGTTGACTCCGGCCGTGTTCGCGCGGTACCCCGACATCGCTCCCGCGTCTTTCGGCGTCGGGGACAGTCGCAACATCCGAACCATGGCCACTATACTCACGGCCGCAATCGAGCACAAAATGCCCTTCGGCCGCCGCGTGTCGATGGGTTTTGGCCGCGATCGTCGAACCAGCTCGACCCCAGAGAAGACGGTGGCGAGGACGCGCTCGAGGCGGATCCTGTCTACGAAGAGCTTCCGCATGAGCATGTTCTCCACCCACAACTTGGAGAAGGTGGCGCCAGTGGATCGAGAGGACGACCAGCAGTCTGAGCCTGTGTACGCGGATGAAGCCAACCCCGTGCACAACTCCACCGAGGAAAATCGCCTGGATGCCCGGCGCTTCTCGAGGATGCAGACGGAGCTGAGCCAGCTCACAATGGACCAGAATTACTCGTTGGGTAACCCCGTGGACCCGCCTGAAGTTCCCGACCACAAACCTCCCAAGCCTGTCGTCCCCGTCATCGCGCTAACTCCCGCTGAGCTCGTGAAAAAGGCAACGGCTGCACCCAGTGGCCGCTCGAAGGACCCGATCGTCAAGCCCTTGTCAAGTCGAATGCCGCTGAGCGCCAGAAGCGCCAGAAGCGCCAGGGAGCGCAGTACGCACAGCATCACGGAGCAGTCAAGCGACAAAACCCTGACTGCGAGTCAAACTTCCGGTCAAACGCCAGTCCCGACGCCAAGCCCCAGCACTTTGGACTTGGCTGTACACGAGCCTCGAAGATCTGTGACGGAGGAGCCGTCAGCTTGTGGCGACGACCTCCTCGGTCCTTCATTCCCTGGCCCACAATTCGTCGACCTAGTGGCAGCTCAGCAACTCGCTCAAGCCGAAGACGACAACCACCCATCGAGTTGGGAGCCCGCCCCCCTCACGCGGCCTTCGGTAGCAGCCAGCGGGAACCTCCGGACGCGCATCCGCCACTTGTCGCTGTGTTTCCGTCGAGACCCGCCGCCGATAACGCTGAGGGACCACTTCGTGGTCTGTGGCTTACCGAGCAACTACGAGGACTTTCTCGCCAACCTGTCGGACTTCAACGAGCAAGTGGCGGGCATCGTGTTCATCACGCAGCGAAATGTGACGGAGAAGGACCTCATGGCGCACCAGCTGCACGAGCGTCTCTACTTCGTCCGAGGCTCCCCCCTCAGCATGCACGTCTTCCATACGTCTCGGATGTTCCACGCGCGCAGCATCTTGATCATGTCGTACTGCGGAATGGAGAGAACTGGCAGCATGGACGTCGAGGCGAACGACCAGGGGAACACGGACGAGAATATGGCCGACGTGGACGCTATCACCACCCACCGCTTCATCAGCGAGGCGCTGCAGAACGAGCTGTCTCGACTGCAGATCAACGGCATCAACGAGACGAGGCCCATGCCCTTTATCGTCGCCGAGATGATTCGCCCGAGCAACGTCAAGTTCCTCATCGACCGAAGCGGGTCCTTGTACGACGAAAACGCGGCAGCTAACGAGTCTCGCCAACGCGATCTGCTCAAGGAGGTCAAGTTCATTGACAGCTCGTTCTTCAGCCCGCTCTACACGTCGGGGCACATTTACTTCTCCAACTTCATGGACGCGCTCATGGGATCGTGCTCCAACCAGCAGCTCATGATCGAGATGGTGACGCAGCTCGTGATCAGCGGGAACATGAGCATGAAAATGCCGAACCGAGTGCAGAGATCGCGCCATCGCCTGACGCAGATTCCAGCGCCGGAGAGGTATTACTTCCGTCCTTACGCTCTGCTGGTGGAAGGGCTGCTTCACCACGAGGTACAAAGATGGTTATCCATTGTGCAACTGCGTCGCTGTTGCGTTCATCTTCTTACCTGCTGCTTGTCGCCTTTTTGTCTTACAGAGTATCATGACGCTGGGCATTTATCGCAGTGCTAGCACCCGCACGTCCCCGCAGCATGTTCTCACCAACCCACCAGGGGACGAACTCGTCACCCCGCAGGATCTGCTGTTTGTAATCAAGTGAGCGTGGGTCATTCTACCAACGGAGTGTGGATTAAAGTGTTATGGTGCAGAATTCCTGCCGGTCGACGACGATGAGAGCATCTCCGGAGGGGGCCCATTGAAGACCTAGCGCCTGGAAAGCCTCTGCGCTCGTGATAAATGACGAACAAACATCAATTTCCGTCAACCATCAGCTAGCAGCAAGCTACTAGACAAGGGAAGAACAGCGAACCGTACCGTTGGGAATATCGACCCAGGAGATCCCCTCGGGAGTCCAGAGGTGCACCCGATTCTGTCCTGATGTGATCGCAAGGCGGTTTTTCACCGGGTCCCATCGCAAGCTTCGGACACTTTCCAGTAGTGAGACGACCGAGTGCAGTGTCAGACTTTCTGTTCGCCAGATCCACACGTTGTACGGCATTTGGTCACTCCTAGTAGCGATAAACGCCGAGTCGGCACTCCACATCATGCGGCTGATACCAATCTTAGGATTCTCCGTCCTAAAAGGCAAAGAGTCAATGTGCAAATGTTAGATTTGATTCGTCACTACAGGCATGGCAATGATGCAGAGAGTGACCTACAGTGGATCAGAAGAGAGCGTCCGGACGGAAAACGGCGGCTCCCGCGTCACGAAACAAATATCGCGTGCCTTCTTACCGCCTGCAGCTTGCGCTGCTGTAGACGCCGCTTGCAACGAGTTGGACAGGAGCGAGGAACCCCGCTGGGACACTGTGACGCGCTTGCCTTGCGGTCGGTCCATAACATTGGCGTCCGCGAAGTTCTCTTCGTATTCAACCTGCCCAGCAAAAAACGATCAGCAACCAATCCCCCCACATTCCACCCCCTTCGAGTTCAAGCACCCACCGCTGCCTGATTTGTGTGGGAGCTCGTGACAGCGATGCTTTCATGGTCGAAATCCGCAACGGGCTTCCAGTTGATGTGGCTCAGCACTCGGAGATGCTCATCGTAGCTGCCGAGCGCGAGGAATTGTCCAGACGCGGACCAGCTCATGGCTTTTAGGCCCAGCGCATTCTCGTATGCCTAAGGATTCCGCAGGGCACACGAATAAAGTAGCGAAGTTCAGAGGCAGATCTGAAAAAATAATGGCTACGTATTTCCGTCCGTCATACCTGGTACTTTGCCAGTAGCGTGCCGTCCGGTGAGTAGAGCAGCACTCTGAACTCCAAGTGCGTATCCCGAACGGCGATAGTCCTGCAAAACACGAAAGTCTCGATCAAACCGACATCCGACACCTCTCGACATCCGACACCAGCAGCACGTTGGCGTACGCGTCGTCGGGTGACCACGCAACCTCCGCGCAGTCGTAGCTCTCGATCGAGAAATGCGCCGTCAACTCCCAGCTCTCGCAGCTGTAGATGCCAATGAAGTCCTGGACGCACACAACAAGAACGTAACGTAATATTCAAATGAAAAGGCCGGCCTCCCTCTATCCTCTACCTTGCAGTCGTGCCGCTCTGCGACCGCCAGGAATTCCCCATTAGCCGAGAAGCTCAGTCCCTCCGCCGCCAGCTTGGGGCTGCGGATCGTGCACCGGGCCGTCGGGTCCTCCAGGGACCACACGGTCGCGTGCAGCTGGAAGTCGGACACCGTCACGACGTGGCGCGCGTCGGGCGTCCACCGGACGAAGACGAGCCCCGCGACCCCCTCCGAGATCCGGCAGCTCCAGGACGCGTCCTGCACCGACCAGAGCTGCACCACCGCGCGCTTGTACGCGGCCGTCAGCACCAGCTGCGAGTCGTCCGACCAGGCCACGGCCTGCACCACGTCCGCCGCCGAGTAGCGCTGCACCAGCTGCAGCGACTGCGCGTCGCGGATGGCCAGGCGGTTGCCGCTGGCCGACGCCACGTACCGACCGCACGGCGACCAGCGCACGAGCCCCTGCGAGACCCGCATCGGCGCCGACACCGCCGCCTCCATAACCCGGATTGAACCAAATTGGGTTTGTGAGACTTGGGTTTTAAATTCAGGGTGGAATAACTGCACTACTACTAATAATAATATTACGTCTACTACTACGACAGCAATATCAATATTACTAAAATACTAAAAATGGAAAATTTCATATAATAGTACAGTTTTATATTACTACTAACCAGATAAACTATATTCATGACTATACTAACCAAAGTAGTACTTTACAACAGGTCTCGAGATGTAGTAGTATATCAGTCATTCCGTTGCTTCCGGTACCAGGTGAAAGCGTCAGAAGTTATCAATACAATGCCGGGCCTGACAGATCAATCCGCGAGCGACAAAAATGTGTCGGGACACAAATTGCGCCAAATCCCTTACCAAAACCAGAATAAAACCGGCGAGTAGCGGCTGCGCCGTACACCAGTCACAAATATTCAGGCTAACCCCAGGAAGGCTCTCATCCTTACTGGTGGTTCTGTCCCCCCTTAAGACCTGAGGGTACACTTCGCGTCGCGAAGCTGGGACAGCCCTCTCCCCATTAATTCCAACATGCGTCGGTGGACTTAGTTTACTCAAAGATTATTGATAAGGTGGTGGAGCTGGTTGTTCCTTGAATACTGGAGGGTGCCCTACCAAAAGCAACAAAGTACGAGTTGAGGGTTTCAGTCTGCTATCACAACCGCGTGTTGAAGGGCCCGCTAACGCAATGTTGCACGGCTTGGCTGCTCCTACGGTTTCAGTGGGTCTTCTGGTTTTCAATAGTATGTATGATACTAATTTGATTAGGATACACGGGTAGAAATATAGTAATACAACTACGATTTGCATTTAGCTGATTTTGATAGCACAACTATATTTATTTGTAGTAATATTCATGGTTACTGCTTGATATATCAGTGTATTTATTTAAAGTTGGTGTGATACGATAATATATTACACTTATATAATGTTTCACTATTATTACCCGAGACTTTTAGAACAATATTGGGTGGATTGAGCATTTGGGATAAACCCATTTGACCTGTGGGTTATTTCACAATTCACTTTTCAATGGGGCATGGTCCAAAGTGGCGCCGCGATGAGGACGAGGCATTAGCTGCTGCGTATGCGGCGGAGGTGGAGACGGCGCGGACGGAGGGGAGTGCGACTCTGTGGGATGCCGTGCACGACCAGCTCAAGACAGCGAGAAGTGCACGCGCCTTGCAGAACCGGTGGTTTATCATCGCGAAGGACGTCGCGACGTTCGTCGAGTGCTTGGCAGGCGAGGCGGGGGAGGAGGAGGAGGAGGAGAGTGAGGCCGCTATCGAGAGAGCGCTGGCGACGTTTAGAGAGGTGACAGACCGAGACTTTGAGTTCCTGGGCTGCTGGAGATGCGCCAGGAACTGCCCAAAGTTCTCTTCCACGCAGCAGCAGCAGCAGCAACAACAACAACAACAGGGCCAGAGGCGGAGCGTGTGGACGGCAGTTCAAGCCGAACGGACTGCCAGTAGCAGTAGAGCAGCTGCCGCTCCAACGGAGACTCAACAGCAGACTCGAGTTGCCACGACCAACCTACGTGCTGGCGCGACTGCTACTACTGGTGTTACCATTGCTCCTACCACTGCAAGAGCCACGACCACCACCACCGCTGCAGTCCGAGAGGCCAGGGAGGTTGTCGCCTTAAGGCCGACCCCGTCGCTGGCGCCTTCGCTGTCAATGGACTTGGTGCTGATGCAGCAGCAGCAACAGCTGGCGAGTGAGTTGAAGCGCAAGAACGACCTGCAGGAGGACGAAATGGCCATGAGACTGTTTGGCGAGGAGCGGCAGTCAGAGGAGTCGATAAGGTTCTTTACGTTGCTCAAGAGGAAGAAGCTGCTGCTGCTGGAGAGGGAGGTCGACGAACTGGAGCGGGCTCAGCAACGACGCAGATTGAGCTAGAACTAAACAGGTACAAGCAATCATATACTATTTACGCAGGCGACGTCCACCCCCCTCTCTCTTTGGGCGCGCACTCGAGAGCTGATCGGTCTTACGGCAGTGGGTCTGGCAGGTGGCGCTGGTCGAAGCGATCTCCAGCGATGCGTTTCCTCGGAACAGGCCGATAGACGACTCGGCCGTCCAAACTCGGCTCCGCGCCCGGGTTCGTGGCTGGAATGTACTTAGGGCCTTCCCAGTAGATTCGGCCGCAGCCGACGCAAGCCCAGAACTTGGTGACGGTGTCTGGCACCTTCTTGCGAAGCCGCTCCGACATTCACCTGCGGGCCGAGACGGCGTCGATGGGCGAGAAAGTGTCCGAGTTGCACCGAGCACACCGCGACGAGCGCGAGTCCATCTGGTCCAGCAGCCCGAACTGCAACTTGACTTCTCGGAACTGCTTGTAGCACTCGTCGTCTGACAGCACGAAGCACGCTCCAGCGTCGCGACGGCTGGGGAGGCTCGTGTCTCGAGTCAAGATAATCCGATTCTGCTCGGCAGCGTACGCCAACATGGTGCTCTTGGCGTCTTTGCTTCGAGTGGCTTTGGACGCAGGTCAGGATTCCAGACGACTACATTGACTCCGATAGTGCGCAGCCAACGGCCAACCTGAGTCACCATGGAATCTGCAAGGAACTTGTGCTCGAGGAAGTTTTGCTCCTTCTCGGTAGCGTTGCCAACTCCAATGTGGCTATCATCAGTGCTGGGCCCAGTGACAGAAGAGCTTGGAGGCAATGGACGTGAAGAATCGCGGGAAATCGAGATATCGTCGATCAGTTTGATGCTGATCAGAGCGAAGAAAGCCTTGGCGTCCACCCACATAACCTCCTCCTGGGACCCGGACCCTGCCGCGAGGTATCGAGCGCTGTGAAGTCGCGAGTCGGCGTCGACCTCGATTTGCAGTGGCTGTGCAGATTTTCTGTCTACCCATCGCTTGTGCCCGAACGGCGCCGACTGTACCCGGTAGAAAACCAAACACGTCGCGGCACTCGGACGCAGACGCCAGTCGGACTCGGCGTCGTCCAACGCCGCAGAATCTTGCAAACTGCGCCACGTCGAGCTTGCAACTGGCGTCGATGCACACAACTGACGGCGTATCTGAATATCAGCGATGACAAAACTCGAGGGTTAGAGGGTTTTAGTATAATTAAACGCATTGTACTTTGCTTATACCATCAACAAGAACGCAGATGCTGTTCACCGCAATAAAATCGCCAGTGTCAGTATCGGTCTCGAGCTTCGAGGGGATCTCGTCCATTGGCAAGAACTTCAGCGAGGCATCAACACTCGCCTCAAGCTCGTGCGCTCCGGCTCTTTTTGTTAGAATTCATTTATCGGCAGAATTCAACCTCCACACACCAGCTTATGCATACCTTGTCGAGTGGTTTGCCCAGACTATGCCGGACAGATTGCGATAAGCTAGCGCCGATGGAGCCGCTAGCCAGCTCATTTAGCTACAGAAAGGAAAGCGACGTCAGAGTGATGTCGAAGCTGGAGAAGAAACAATGACTCACATCGCAAAACGGATGAATTGTGGTAAATGCCTGACGCTCCGGAAATGTTTGGTGCAGAACTAGAACAGAACGTAAATCAGCAGAACAGTGGGCTTAAGTATCGGTCTCACGCGTACGCACCTTTCAGGTCCGAAGCTAAGTTGAAGCCCAATTTGAGCCACCGAGGTGATGTGAACAGCTGTAGGAGGAAGCTGCCAAACAAGAATTGGTTGTCCTGCACGAAATTAACACGAAATGGTTAAAGAAATCGTCAGGCAGTTCCTTAAGGTTGAACACTGCATCACGCCGACTTACATGGAGAGCTAGCAGGTCGATAATGAACACTCGGTCCGACGAAGCTATTTGCAGGATACTGGCCACTGCTGTCGTTGATTTTGATCGCGAGGTGATTGGCCTCCACTCCACGTCCAGGCCCACCGCTACTGTGGAATCGAGTTCTTCTTCAACTTGCAGAGGAGATTGATAGACGTAAGACCCGAAAAAATAATGCATTGCATCTCTCACCGCATCCTCCACATCGCAGAAGACAATGTTATCGTCCGCCACTGTTAGAGCGAGGTACTCTCCGTCTTCGAGGTCATGTTGGCTCGGATATTCGGATTTTCCAGCTTCTTGGTGACTCTGAAGAATATGCAAGATGTCGGCTTCAACGCCCCCAGCCACCATTTTCTTGACGAGCTGATCTGCATGGACCAACTCCTCGGCAGCGACCATGTGCTTTAGAAGTACCTTTTGAAGGGTGGGGTCATGGCCGACGAAAGTAAGTGCAAGCTGCCAACGCTGAGCTTCAATAAGCCGCATGAGGCCGTCGCGGCTGTAAAGTATATCTGTCAACACCAATTGTTAGTTCCTCTCAGTGAGTGCAGATCGGAAAAACTACGCCCATACTTACCAATATCTGGATACTGCTACTGGAGCTTAAAGGTTGACACAAACCTATGCGCCTAAGCAACGAACAGCAACGAGTGAATTCTTGAGTAGTGACTTCCCAGCCATTCTTATCTACGTACACGCTTAAAGTCAGGGACATTGATGGTTTCGTCGATTAAAGCCCTGGCCAGAGCTGATCCACACAAGTCAGCACAACATTAGGGGGGGGGGTAAGTACCATCATCGTACCCGTGTCGCCATCCTGCTCGAACGTCCGAACTAGCAACTCTGCCGAGGTCCAGTCTTTCGTGGTCACCATTCTCGCTACGATGGTCTCGAACGGCCAGTTCACGCCGCAAAACGTTTCACACAGCTTGATAAGCGCTGCGTGGCTTTTTGAAGCAAGAAGCCGCTCCATTGCATTGTGGACGAGACCGAGGTCAACGTCCGTGATTTGGAACAGTCCCACCAGCTCCACAAGCAGCTTTTGGTCCTACAATGCATACCGAAAGTTGTCACAGCATCAGCATGCAACCAGAATACTAATAGGTAGTGAGAGAAAAGATGAGCGGGGATTCGTACAATAGTCGAGTCTTGGCTTAGGCCCTCCATGCAAAACACCCGTAGCCCCTTGTTGCTCCTTCCTTGTAGTCGACACAGTTCTTGTTGTTTGCCGCTCAAGTCTCCGCTGAGTCTGATTTACATAAAACGGAGCTCCTACAAGATAGATAAGTCCGATTTAGCTATATCTGACCTGAGTTAGAAGCAAACTCCTATTTATCTCTCCAAACATCTAAGACAGAGATCTGTACGTGTGTCCGCCGTAAGTCCGTGTGAAGCCCGTGACAACATAATAAGGTGGTCCACATAATCGTACCTAGGCTGCCAAGCGAAGCGGCCCCGTCGCCGAAGGCGACCCCCCAATACGATATTGCGGGGCCGCAGGACCCGCCCCAGCCTCGGTATTTCTAACCTAACATAGCGAGTAGTGCAGCGAGCCGACGAGGCGAGCGGAACGGGTGCATAACAACTAACAAAAATATAAATTCTATCCGCCGCGTAGCGGCGGCGCTCGGCTAGTATACAATCAAGTCCAAGTTGTTTATCTTTTATAGGGGTGAGCTATTCAGCTTTCGCTTCTCTATTTAACCCCAGTCGCCCCTCATGCTATAACAAACGGGAGGGCAAAGTCGGTTTTAAATGAATTCAGTATAGTGTATCAAAAATGTTGTCCTAGACGGACCGCTAGGACAAAAATATGGTACACTATACTTTACTTCAGTGAATTTCGGATTTGTCCTAGCATTTTTCCGGTTTATCCCAGCAAAGTTCCCAACTGGGGTTTAGACTCGGTTATATTACGGTGATTGTCGTCGAAACGTAGGCGATATCTCGCACTTTGTATGAACTCATAGGAAAATCGGCGGTGTTTTCGTCAAAAATATTAATGGCACGCTCAGCTGGTCACTGCTTTATTTTATGCACGACCTGAAAATGCACAATGAATTGACTTTCGTAGCGAGCGATTCCTACGATAAAACAGCGCACGCGATTGGCCTAATAATGCAACAGTGTTAATCACCTATATGTACAGCTAGACCTGGCCCAGTCCACCTGGGCCTTCCAACTGCTCCTAGTAACTCAGTAGCTTCAAAGGCACCTCAGTGATGGGTCCTGACCACGTCAAAAGGCATCAGCAGTTCCGGGCTTCTGCCGCGCCCGACGACACAAGCCCCGATGTGCCCCAGGAGCAGCAGCAAGGGCTGAAGGTAGCTGTGTTGCGAATATGTAGGAATTCCCTCGGTTGGTTGCTAGGTAATGTGTATATTGCAATGGCCTTTTGGCCCGTGATGGTAGTGCCGGAGGCCTGGCAGTGGGAGTGCCGGGGGCCTTCTCACACTTCGTGAAATTGTCCTAATGACATACTAATATGAGTACGGCAACACTGTAAGTATAAATACGGGTGAGAAGCAGTCATTGCTGCCTATACAACACTCTTGCTACTAGGGAGTTCCTGCCTGCGGGAAGCTGCGCTACGAAGCGGCAGCATCATGATGGCGGCTCGCGGCGGGCGCAGGTGCCGAACCGCAGTCGCGGCGACCTCGGTAGCGGCTGGATCTCGGCAACCCTGGTAGCAGTGGTTAGTGGCCATTAGAGTGCATGTCGTTTAGGAGTGTAGGGCTACACTACTTTACAGTTTTGCAAGGAATCTATGTACGACTTGATCGATGCTGATCGTGGTCACGATACTTTGGTGATGTTTTGTAAGTCAAAGGTTGAGAATGAGAATACCGAGTCTGTGCTTGGCACGGGATGTGTCACTCGCCCCTTTCGAATTGGCTTGACAAGCATGGAACTGTTGAAGTACTACTTGAGTATCCAGCAAGATCCTGGTTTAAGAACGTTGTTGCATCGGGACAACACTCACGCCATTTGAAGCAGAACTATTCAGTATTTGTACATGGTATTTCAGATCGAAGTGGTGGATTCCACCCCATTATATACTGCTGTACCTCCCAGCGCACAGGAGTTGACACTTTGTGGCGCCTAGCCTTTCAAAAAACACGTGGTCCTTCTGGA